GGAATTCTGGGAGTTGAAGTCCACCTGTCTCAAACCATTCTGACTGGGGAAGTCTGGGAGTTGAAGTCCACCCATCTTAAACCATCTGACTGGGGAATTCTGGGAGTTGAACTCCACCCATCTTAAACCATTCTGACTGGGGAATTCTGGGAGTTGAACTCCACCCATCTTAAACCATTTTGACTGGGGAATTCTGGGAGTTGAAGTCCACCTGTCTTAAACCATTCTGACTGGGGAAGTCTGGGAGTTGAAATCCACCCATCTTAAACCATCTGACTGGGGAATTCTGGGAGTTAAACTCCACCCATCTTAAACCATTCTGACTGGGGAAGTCTGGGAGTTGAAGTCCACCCATCTTAAACCATTCTGACTGGGGAATTCTGGGAGTTGAACTCCACCCATCTTAAACCATTCTGACTGGGGAATTCTGGGAGTTGAACTCCACCCATCTTAAACCATGCTGACTGGGAAATTCTGGGAAGACCGCCAAACCCCTAACCCCTAACCCTAACCCAACCTTTCCCAACTGTCTGGGCACCTGAGCCAAGGTGGCATTGCCTGGCAACCTGCCTGGAAGGGGCGTGTCTCCCCACCCAGTGGCTGTTGCTTAGACAACGACCTGTGTGGGGTCATCTCTACTCTGAGGTCACAATGGAGGGAGGGGAGGGGGCACCCATCTTAAACCATCTGACTGGGGAATTCTGGGAGTTAAACTCCACCCATCTTAAACCATTTGACTGGGGAAGTCTGGGAGTTGAAGTCCACCCATCTTAAACCATTTGTCTGGGGAATTCTGGGAGTTGAGCTCCATCCATCTTTAACCACTCTGACTGGGGAAGTTTGGGAGTTGAACTCCACCCATCTTAAACCATCTGACTGGGGAATTCTGGGAGTTGAAGTCCACCCATCTTAAACCATTCTGACTGGGGAAGTCTGGGAGTTGAAGTCCACCCATCTTAACCCATGCTGACTGGGGAATTCTGGGAAGACCGCCAAAACCCTAACCCCTAACCCAACCTTTCCCAACTGTCTGGGCATCTGAGCCAAGGTGGCATCGCCTGGCAACCCAGTGGCTGTTGCTTAGACAACGACCTGTGTGGGGTCATCTCTGCTCTGAGGTCACAATGGAGGGAGGGGAGGGGGCCGGAGGGGCTGCAACTGCCATGGAAGACCCAGCCATCCCCACCCAGGCCAGCTCCCTGTTGGCCAAAGCCACCAGCCTGGCGGCCCAAAGCCTTCGAGATCACCTCTTCCTCCTCCCACTCACGTCCTTCTGGGTGGGGGGGGTCCCCCACAAAGCAGCAGCTGCGCTCCCAGGAGCCCCTGCCAGGGTCCCTGCCGTGGGACACTTCCTGGATGCCCTTGAGGACTCTCCTGGGTGGCTGTTGTGCTCAGAGCATCCTCTTCACCACCTCCGAGGGGGGGGGTGGCAGGGGGGAAGGCGCTGCCCCCAGATCCCTGGCGCTCAGGAGGAATAGCAGCAGGAGGGGGGCCCCCGACAGGTGATCCTGGAGGTAGGGGCTGGAAGGTCATGGAGGGGGGACAAAGAAAGGGGGCTTAATTCCCAGGGTCTTCCTGGAGCCACGAGGGAGAGGAAGAACTGACCCCCACCTGACATGGATTCACATGATACCCTGAATCTGAGACCCAGCCCAAGAGCCCACCCTGGCTGCCCTTACAGCCTGTGCCCCCCCCCCGAGAGTTGGAAGCCTTATGGATTGAGCTGAGCATTTTGGGGGGGAGGGGGGGCAAAGTGGCTGACCAACACATGAAAAAGTAATTAAAAATAGCTTTATTTTAAGGTGACCAACTGTCCTCCTTTAGGGAGGACAGTCCTCCTTTTGTAAGTTCTGTCCTCCCTCGAAAAGTGTCCTCCTTCATGTCCTCCTTTTTAATATTTGAAGACTAATCTGCATGGCTTTTTTTTCTCATAGAACGCTCAGAACGGCGTTCCGGCACCTTTTTTGATCTTTTTTTTTTCAACTTTTGCATGAGCTGGGCTACTCCCCCTATTAGCTTTTGAAAGCCAATAGGAATTGCTGCTGAGTGCGCCAAAACACCCGGCTGGCAAACTTTGCACATGCAAGTTGTCTGTATTATTGTTGCAATGAATAAAATGTTTCTTTTATTTACGATATTTTTTTTCTTCAATTTATTTGTGTCCTCCTTTTCATTGTAAAAAAGTTGGTCACCTTATTTATTTCTTCATTTAGGGTTTAAAAATATTGTAGTAAAATTAGTACGCCACCAGGGATAGAAGATCACCGACTTGAGAAACACACCTTACACACGTGCAAATGCATATAGGCAGAAATGCATACAAAAGTGAATCGGGTTGAAAAATGATTTTTTTGACAGTAAGAAATTTTAACCACTTTTAATTTAATGCAGCCTTGCTTCCCTAGAACCATTCCATCCAGCATCAGAAGATCTTCAATGCATTAGTAAAGAGTTTCTCCACCACAGCAACTTTAAGATGTCTGGACTTCAACTCCCAGCTGGCTGGGGAATTATGGGAGTTGAAGTCCATCCATCTTAAAATATTCTGGCAGGGGAATTCTAGGTCCACCCATCCTAAAGCAGAATTAACTGTAGAATTCTTCAAATTGAAGTCCACCCATCTTAAAGTATGCAGGCTGGGGAATTCTGGGAGTTGAAGTTCACTTATCTTCAGGGCTATCAGGGCTCAGTGGAAGCGCCAGGATCAGCGCCAGGCTCCAGCTGGAGCTCAGTGCTGATCCTGGTGCTTCTGCTGAGCCCTGAAGAAGCACCAATCAGCTGGAAAGCAGCACTGATCCTGGCGCTTCTGCTGAGCCCAAAAGAAGCGCCGATCAGCCGGAATGTTGCAGCATCTCCAGGGTCTTGTGATTTACATTCAGATGCTTGGCAGCTGATTCATATTTATGATGGTCACAGTGTCGCTAGGTCATGTGAAGTGACCAAAACCTGCTGCAACCACGCAGCAGACGAAGGGGGGAATAAAAACCAAACACCCCCCCTCACTCCCGCTGCCAATCCTCAACAGAAATGCTCACAACAATGGAAACCTCAGACAGGAGGAAGAGCGCCGCCAGGCGGGCAGGCAGGCGTCTTGCTCGGCTGTGGCTTGGGGGGGCACTTTTTTCAGTGCCATTGTAACTTCAACAGTCACTAAGCGAACTGTTGTAAGTCGAGGACTACCTGTACTTTATAACTTTTTTCCTTTTGGGGGGGGGTCATCAAGTACCACCAGTCGCTTTGCTGGTGGTACTCGGATATTGCCATACCCTAAAAGTGGTACAATGGATGAAAAGGTTGAAAAAGTGTATTCTTTGGAGAATAGGTTGAGCCCCTCGTCTTTTTAGGAACACTTCAAATACCAGAATACTGCTATTATGTCACCCCTAGTCCTCTTTTTCATTAGGTTGATTATTTTCACCATTAGGAAGATTCTCCTTAGTCTAGATCAGCGGTTCTCCACCTGTGGGTCACGACCCCATTTGGGGTCGAACGACCATTTCACGGGGGTCGCCAAACAACGCAGTCCGCCATTTTTCCCCCCCTTTTCCTTAGCTGTGCTACTCCCTTTTATTCTATTGGCTTTTGAAAGCCAATAGAATAGACTCTCTTGAATAGAGTCTAATTCTATTGGCTTTCCAAAGCTAATAGGAATTGTCCAGGCTGTCTCTGCCCTGCTGAGCCCGCCAAAAGTCCCATTCTGCAAACAGTGCTGCAAGTTGTCTGCAGCAAAGGCGAGCTGTCTGGAAGTTTCCACCCCTCCCTGCTGAGCAACTACTAAAAATGTAAGTAAAAGAGGGCCAGGGGCGGGAGGTGGGAGGCCGGCGGGCACAGGGAGGGTTGCTGGCATGCGTGGGGCCTGGCGGGTGCCTTACCTCCCTTGGGCTGGGCCAGCTGGTGGCCCAGCCGGTGGTCGCCCTGCGCCGTCGCTGCCCCTTGCCAGCTACACCTCGGCCGGCGCAGGGGGGGCAACATGCATGCGTGCCGCTCCCGGGCAGGGAAAGTCCTCGACTTATGACTGGTTGGGTAGTCCTCGACTTACAACCGGTTGGGGAGTTGTGGCATTAAAAAAGTTGAGAACCACTAGTCTAGATTGCTCCTCTTCTTGTTTAGTACTTTCCCATCCTTCTGATGCTTTGGAGAATAAGTTGACCCCCCCTTCTTTGGGGCAGCCCCTCAAATGCTGGAATACTGCTATCTTGTCCCTCCAGTCCTTCTTTTCTCCAGACTAGACACATCCAACTCCTGCAACCGTTCTTATGCATTTGGCCATCCTTTAAGCAAATAGAACAATACTACTGACACACAAGCATGATACACTGGATTGTACTCGTTTATTGTCTTCCCGTTGTTACACCCAAAGCATCTTCTCTGGAGTGAAGGAGAAGGAAAAGGAACTTTGCACATGCAAAGAATGACTGAAAAAACAGACAGAGAGTCTTAAGAGGAAGGGCAGGGAATTTGCACAGCCCCACAGTTGGATTCTCACAACATACTTCATCCGGTAGAGACAATATTCTAAACTGGAATAACATTTTGTGGGTCTTGTGGAGTTGCGTGACCGCATACCCACCCAGTCTCTTAGTTTATGGTTCAATTTGCTGAGCAGTCCCAGAAGATGCGTGTATCCAGATGTTCCTCCCTTCCTGAATTGCTGTGTGAACCTGGCCACTGTACTTCATGGACTGGGGACTGTGATTTTGTGCAATAAGTGAATGTGAAAAAGTTGTGCTGCATTTCCTCAGTCTTTGTACTGGTAGTCCTTGACTTACAACAATTTGTTTAGTGACCACTCAAAGTTGAAAAAAGTGACTTTCACAGTTATGACCATTGAAACATCCCCTGTCACATGATCAAAATTCAGACGCTTGGCAACTGGCTCCTATTGATGACGGTTACAGTGTCCTGGGGGGGGGGGGAATGTTGTGTGATCCCCTTTTGTGATCTTCTGACAAGCCAAGTCAATGGGGAACCCGGATTCATTCAACAAGCGTGTTACTAACTTAACAACTGCAGTGATTCACTTAACAACGATGACAAGAAAGGTCATAAAGTGGGGCAAAATATTTCACTTGGGCTACAGAAATTTTGGGCTCGCTTGTGGAGTAAGTCGAGGACTACCTACGCTGGCCTCTTGGCATTAACCAGCCCACTGGGGGGAGCTAGCAGAGGAGGAAGAACATGGAGGAGGGGGCCACGTAATTGCACGGAGCGTTGGAGTCTGGCTGGATTGGACTTGAGGCAGGAGGGCGCCATGAATGGGAGTCAACCACTTGTCCCGCCGGATCCACCCGTGGACAAATTTCTGCGGACAGCACAGAAGTGGAAGAGAGCTGGGGAGAAAAGGGGGAGAGGTGGTGAACGGTGGAGTTCCCAAGGACACAGTTTGTAGCCAACACAAACACAACACAAACACATACGCCAGCACACATAGTCCTCGCCTTCCAGAAATTCATTTAGGGACCGTTTGAATTTGCAATGGCACCAAAAAAAGTGACTTATGACCGTTTTTCACCTTTATCACTGTTGCAGCATCCCCAGGGTCACGTGATCAAAATTTGGACACTTGGCAACCGATTCATATTTATGACGGTTGCAGTGTCCTGGGGTCACGTGGTCCCTTTTTACGACTTTCTGACAAGCCAAGTCAAGGGGGAAGCCAGTTTCGCTTAACAGCTGTGTTACTAACCGCACAATGATGAGGGGAACTTCGCTGCACACTCACAGAACACCAATACCTGCTGAGAAGGTCAGGAGAACAGCGATCCAGCCCAGAATATACGACCAGGAGAAGCGCCAGTCAGCGTAGCGCTTACCGTAGAAATTCACGGTCACACCGGTGTAGATGGAGAGGCCCAGCAAGGCGAAGAGTCCTGGGGACAAAACGAATGATCTAAATTTGGGGGAAATATCAAACTAGACTTAGGACATAGAACATAGACTAAGAGGGTTTGAAGGGACCTTGCAGGTCCAACTAAGCCAGTGGGTCTCCACCTGTGGGTCGGGACCCCATTTGGGGTCGAACGACCGTTTCACGGGGGTCGCCAAACAACGCAGTCTGCCATTTTTCCCCCCTTTTCCTTAGCTGTGCTACTCCCTTTTATTCTATTGGCTTTTGAAAGCCAATAGAATAGACTCTCTTAAATAGAGTCTAATTCTATTGGCTTTCAAAAGCCACTAGGAATTGTCCAGGCTGTCTCTGCCCTGCTGAGCCCGCCAAAAGTCCCATTCTGCAAATGGTGCTGCACCAGTTGAGTAGTCCTCCACTTATGACCGGTTGAGTAGTCCTCGATTTACGACCAGTTGGGGGTCGCAGCATTAAAAAGGTTGAAAACCATTGAACTAAGCCCAACCGTTTAGTCAAGCAGGAGACTCCATATACCATCTTGGACAAATGGCTGTTCGGTCTCTTCTTAAAAACTTCCAGTGTTGGAACCCCCCACAACTCCTGGAGCTGATTAATTAATTAATCCAAAGATTAATTGTTCTCACTGTCAGGAAATTCCTCCTTAGTTGTAGGCTGGGTCTCTCTTTGATTAGGATCCACCCATTACTTCTTATCCTGCCCATGTTCATGTTTGTCAAAATTGTTCTGAATCTTCTATCTTCTATTCCTGCCAGCTTGGTATCATCTGCAAATTTGATGGGTTCCCTTCTATCCTCTCATTTAAATAGTTTATGAAGATGTTGAAGAGTACTGGGCCCGAGACAGAACTTTGGGGTACCCAAAGCTGCTTACTTCCCTCCATGTAGATGTAGTTCCATTAAGGATGGCTCGTTGAGTGCAGTTAGTCACACAGTTGCAAATCCATCTTGTGATGATACTCTCTGTCCCACAAGAAGTAGGTTGTGGTCTACTTTATCAAATGCCTTATTGAAGTCCAAGTATACTATCTGCACAGCATTTTGCTGATCCACTAATTGTCAAAGAACGCAATAAGTTTTGTCTGGAATGATCTGTTTTTGACAAACCCATGTCGGCTTCTAGTCATCACCTTGTTCATTTCTAGGTGCTCAAAAGTACACTGCTTGCCATCCCAGGACAGAGCGCTCTTTCTCAAGCTTGGCAACTTGAAGATGGGCGGACTTCAACTCCCAGAATTCCCCAGCCAGCCCCACCTACCTGCAATCAAGAGGGTGACCCCTGCAGAGCGACTGCGGGAGAAGCGGTTGGTGCCAGAGTAGGTCATCAGCTCCAGGATGATCCCGGCGAAGGAGGACAGGATGGAGATGAGCATGAAAGCTCGGGTGGCATCCCAGAAAGCTGTGTGGGGAAAGCAAGGTCCGTGGGTTCTCTCACACAACACTTAGCTTCCCGCTAAGAAAGTCAGCACAGATGGTCCTCTCTTAACGGCCAGCCACTGTTCATGATGGTCTTTCCCAGAGTTACTTACAACCCGGTTCCAGAGTTCTGATGGTCACAATCATTTTTGCTATGCTTGTTAAATGAATCGCTGCAGTTGTTAACTGAATCGTGTAGTCATTAGCCCAATGCACCTTCCTTCATTGACTTTACTGGTGGCAAGCCAGCTTGAAAGATCGCAAATGGTGATCCTGGGATCCTAGGACATTGGAAACTTTCATGGTTAAGACGGGACTAGAATTCCCTGTCTCCCACTTTCTAGCCTGGTGTCTAGAAAGTGGGATGCAGGGAGTTCTAGTACCCTCCTAATTATGAAAGACAGTTGGGTGAATTTGGGCCTCCACCCTCAGCCGAACCCACCTCTCAGGGCTGTTGTTATTGGCAAAATAGGAGGAGGAAGGTGTGTTGCATTTGTTCACTGCCTTGAGTAATTGCAGAAGTAATAAAGGTGGTACACAAATTAAATAAACAAACAAACAAATAAATAAATGCTGGTTGACAAGTGCCCAAATTTTGATCACATCACCATAGAACTGTGCAATAGTCGTAGGTGCGAGGATCGGTCCTAAGTCACTTTTTTCAGCATTGTAACTTTGAACAGTCACTAAATGAAGGGTTGTTAGCCAAGGACTACCTGTACAGATGCTCAGAGGATGCACTAAACCAGAGGTGTCCAACCATGGCAACTTTAAGACTTGTGGACTTCAACTCCCAGAATTTCCTAGTCTTTGCTTTAAGACATGCTGGCTGGGGAATTCTGGGACTTGAAGTCCACGGGTCTTAAAGTTGCCATGGCTGGATACTCCTGCACTAAGCCAGCCCAAGGGACTCTTGGGAGGGTGCATTGAAAACCACCCCTGTTTTCCAGCCTCCCCAAACCTGGTGTCCTCACCAAGGGTGATGGTGTGCGGGTGACATTTGCTTCCCACACAGAAGCGCCAGAGTCCTTGGTTGCTGAAGCTGCCAGAGTATCGGTATTGCATCCAAAAGTCTGTTGCTGTGGCAACAATGAGGAGGACCAGCCCGGAAACGGCGCACAGCAAGGCCCCTCCCATCCAACCGAACATCATGGGCCCTGGTGGTGTTGACGGTCAAGCAGGATCTCCTGTGGAAGAAGAAAGGGCTGGGGGGAATTCTGCAAACTGGAAAAATCAGCCCACTCAAGATCATTTTTTTCTTTTTCTCCTCTTGATTTTTGATGGGGTGGGGGCAACCACTGTTCTTTGGTTTTGCTGCTCATCAAAAGCTAGGAAAGAGTGGTCCAGATGGATCTTTTCTCCTTGTGTGGACTTCAATTCCCAGAATTCCCCTTAGATCCTGGCAAATTAACTCAGTGTTTCTCAACCTCAGGTTCTTTAAAGTGGGTGAACTTCGACTCCCAGGATTCCCCCCTCCTGGGTGGACTTCAACTCCCAGAATCCCCCATTTGATCTGGACAGCTAGCTCGAGGTTTCTCAACCTCTGCAACTTTAAGATGTTTGTGGACTTCAACTCCCAGAATCCCCCATTTCATCTGGACAGCTAGCTCAGGGTTTCTTAATCTCGGTATCTTTAAGATATGTGGACTTCAACTCCCAGAGTTCTCTTCAACTAGCCAGAGTTGTAGAGAATACTGGCTAAGGGATTCTGGGAGTCAAAGTCTACCTATCCTAAAGTTATAGAGCAGTGATGGCGAACCTTTGAGAGACCGAGTGCCCAAACTGCAACCCAAAACCCACTTATGCATTGTCAGGTGCTGGGTGGGCGTGGCCCATTGGGTGGGTGTGGCTGTGGTGGTAACAGCAGACTGGGTGGGACTAAAAAGTTCAATCAATCAATTCCAACTTTGCAAGATCTTTTTTTTTCCCGTGAGAAGTTAAAATTGACTGATTGATTGAACCTTTTTTTTTTGCACAAGGCGGCGGAGGCCTAAAGCGAAAAGGTTTTATAAAACCCAGCTGAAGGCCTAGGACTGGGGCGATGGTGCGCGTGCCCACAGAGGGGTCTCTGAATGCCGCCTCTGGCACCTGTGCCATAGGTTCGCCACCACTGGTCTAGTGATTGACCAGCACCCCGATTAACAATATTTTTAAACTGCACATCACCCAATCCACAATCCAAATTATTGCTGGTCACGGGGAGAAATCCCTCCCTTGTTCTTTGCCAGAACAAATTTTGCTAAAAGAGCACCAGAACCCTACACAGATGTTAATCTTTCTCACAGGGCCGCACTCTCATCACAGTTACAACAATAATCCCATTTTCCTCACCTTTAGGAGAACAGGGTTTTCTAAATCAATGCAGTATCCCAGTCACAGACGTTCTGCCAAGTGAAAACATACAAAGACGGAGAGAAATATCAAGCTGCATCGTTGTCTCCAATGGTCCCACTCTAAAAAGTCCTCGACGTGCGACCACAATTTAGCCCAAAATTTCTGTTGCTAATTGAAACACTTGTTAAGTGAGTTTTGCTTTATTTTATGACCTATCTTGCCACTATTCTTAAGGGAATCACTGCAGTTAGTAAGTTAGCAACATGACTTCCCTCTCAATTTTGCGTGTCAGAAGGTGGCAAAAGGGGATCACGTGACCTTGGGACACTACAACGGTCATAAATGTGAGTCAGTTGTTAAGCATCCAGATTTTGACCACGTGACCCTGGGGATGCTGCAATGGTCATAAGTGTGAAAAATGGGCATAAGTCCCTTTTTTCAGTGCCATTGTAACTTTGAATGGTCACTAAATGAACTGTTGTAAGTTCAGTATTACCTGTAGTGTTGCTTTCAAGACAAGATGTTAAGGTTGGTTTACTTTTAACTCTGGCGAGATTTTTGAGCTTTAACAAAACACACAAGCAAAGTCATTTGGGGTAGTCGATGTGGTGCAATGTGGTGCAAATTTAAACAATGGATTAATCTAATGGTCTAGTTTAAGTGGTTTATGCGTCCAACTGTCCTGCTAGGGCCACAAAAATCACCCAAATGAAAAGTGGAAACTAATTTGTGCAGAGGAATTTACTGGACCAGCTTTAAAATTGGAAAAGCGCCATTGTGCAAAATAGTGTTTCTCAATTTTGGCGACTTGAAGACCTGTGGACTTCAACTTCCAGAATTCCCCAGCCAGCAAAGAATTCTGGGAGTTAAAGTCCACGCGTCTGCAAGTTACCAAGGTGGAGACTCAGTGGTCTAAAAGTAAGAAAACCCCCAAGCTCAGAAAGCACCCAGGACCCCACAATTCAACCCTGAGTATATTGATACGTTCCTGTTCTGAACATCTCACCGCCTTAAGAAACCTCTTTATTCAGACCGGGGTTTTGTGCTAAAAATACGGTTTCACACATCACTCTAAAGCAGTGGTTCTCAACCTGTGGGTCGGGACCCCATTTGGGGTCGAACGACCATTTCACGGGGGTCGCCAAACAACGCAGTCCGCCATTTTTTCCCCCCTTTTCCTTAGCTGTGCTACTCCCTTTTATTCTATTGGCTTTCAAAAGCCAATAGGAATTGTCCAGGCTGTCTCTGCCCTGCTGAGCCCTCCAAAAGTCCCATTCTGCAAACGGTGCTGCACCAGTTGAGTAGTCCTCGACTTACGACCGGTTGGGTAGTCCTCGACTTACAACCGGTTGGGGGTCGCGGCATTAAAAAGGTTGAGAACCACTGCTCTAAAGCCAGTGCTTCCTAAACTGGTCCAAAATTGGCCAAAAGTGGGTGTTTTAGTTAATTATAGAAACCCAATCACAACCTGGAGATTTAAAGGAGAACTTTCTGATCAGCGGTTCAGAAAGGAACGAAGGAAAAGGGTTAACGAAGGAAAAGGGAAGCCCTGATCTAAGTGGCTTGCTTGTTTTAGCAACGGTGGCAACTTTAAAGCCTGTGGACTTCAACTCCCAGAATTGGGAGTTGAAGTCCACAGCTGTGCTGGCTGGGGAATTCTGGGAGTTGAAGTCCACAGATCTTAAAGTTGCCAAGGTTGGAGACCCCGACTTAAGAGTGTTGCAGTTTATAATACAATGATAGCTTAGAGCAGTGGTTCTCAACCTTTTTAATGCCGCGACCCCCAACCAGTCGTAAGTCGAGGACTACTCAATGGGTGCAGCACCATTTGCAGAATGGGACTTTTGGCGGGCTCAGCAGGGCAGAGACAGCTTGGACAATTCCTATTGGCTTTGGAAAGCCAATAGCATTAGACTCTATTCAAGAGAGTCTATTCTATTGGCTTTCAAAAGCCAAGAGAATAAAAGGGAGGAGCACAGCTAAGGAAAAGGGGAAAAAAACGGCGGACTGTGTTGTTTGGTGACCCCCGTGAAATGGTCGTTCGACCCCAAATGGGGTCCCGACCCACAGGTTGAGAACCACCAGCTTAGAGCAACATGAAGCCCTCTTGGTGTGAACAAAGCCTTCCCAATTTCCGCCCAAGTCTCCCTTTCTCTCACTTACCTTCAGTAGCCGATCAAGGGATCAACCATGGTCCGAGATAGAAGCCCGTTCCGAGTGCTCGAGTCCCCCCCAATGCCTCTGGCTTTCTCTTCCATGCGCCTTTCGCCCACAGCAGCAGCAGCAGCCAATTTCAGGCGAAAACACTGAGGGCCAGTCACTTTTATAGATCCCTTTGCGCAGCACATTGTCAGCCAAGTGACACGGCCGACAATGGGGCAGAAGGCTCTGGCACCCGTCCGTTGCCAAGCATCCCCCCTCTCCTCCCGGGGTTTTGCTGATGCAGGAGGCGCAATAAATGGAACCGCGGCCGGAGTCAATGGAGCCAGCAAATCCCCTGATCCCTAAGAGAGATCACGGATTGCATTGTTCGGGACTGCAGGTCCCATCCCTGAGCTGAGAGCTGACATGTCACTCACACAAACACACACACAGGCACACACACACACACACACCCCACGGCCATGAAATCCACCCCTGAAAATACAGGCAGTCCTTGACTTAAAACAGTTCATTTCAAAGTTACAGTGGCACTGGAAAAAACGGGACTTAGGACTGATGCACACAAATTTTATTTATTTATTAAATTTATATGCATATGAACTTCAACTGTAAATACAGGCAGCCCTCAACTTACAACGGTTTGTTTAATGACCATTTAAAATTATAGCGGCATTGAAAAAAGGGACTCGGGACTGTTTTCCACACTTATGACCATTGCAGCATCCCCCCAGGGTCCCATGATTGAAATTCAGATGCTTGGCAACTGGTTCGTATTTATGACGGTCGCCATGTCCTGAGGAGGAGGGTCACGTGATCCCCTTTTGGATCTTTCCGACAAGCAGAATCAGTGGGGAAGCCAGATTTCTTAACAACCTGATTACTAACTGATCGACTGCAGCGGTTCCCTTGACAACTGTGACAAGAAGAGTCGTAAAATGGGGCAAAACTCACTTAGCAAATATTTCAGTTTCAACAGCAATTTTGGGCTCAGCTGTGGTCGTAAGTCAAGGGCTACCTGTGTGCAGCTCCTGGTTTGCCCACTCCGCCTCTAAACTGCAAAGCTTGTTGGAAGGAGGACAATGGAATATTGGTTCATACAGAGACTCTGCGGGGAACCTCCCTGAGAGGGGAATCACCCAGCACCCCATCAAGCCAGCCACATTAAAGGACAGGGTGGGAGGAGGAGGTCAAAGGATGGATCTTGCAGAGACACAGCGGGATCCCTCCACCGGGAGAAGCAAGGGGGTCCTTGACTTACGACCACAGCTGGGACCGGGATTTCTGTTGCTAAGTAAGGGGGTCGTTAAGTGAGTCGGGCCTGATTTTACGACCTTTTGTGCCACAGCTGTTAAGCGAATCCATAACTGAGCCCCAAATTTATGTTGCTTGAGAAAATTGTTAACTGAGTTTTGCCTCATTTTGCGACCTTTCTTGCCACAGCTGTTAAGCGAATCTCTGCAGTTGTTAAGTTAGTCACACAGTTGTTAAGTGAATCTGGCTTCCCCCATGGACTTTGCTGGTCAGAAGGTCACAAAAGGGGATTGCGTGACCCGGGGACACAAGCCTCCGAATTTTGATCCCGTGACTGCGGGGATGCTGCAGCGGTCACAACTGCGAAAAATAGTCATAAGTCACATTTTCCGGTGCCATTGTAGCTTTAAATGATCCTTAAACAAACTGTTGTAAGTTGAGGATTACCTGTATTTATTAATGAACTTTATATGCATATACTTCTAATAAATAAAGCTTGTGTGCATCTCTCTCTCTCTCTGTCTATACAAAAAACTTCCAGTGCAGTCCTAGCTGGATCCCTGCTGCTTTTCCGAGTCCAACTCAGATGAGTTATGATGTTGATGGACATATTCCATCAACATTATGATGTTGATGGACAATTCAAGGCAGAAAGATCTGTTTATTTCTATTTTTTTCCCCAAAACCAATCAGCACAGGATTAACAGTAAGAACATTCATAATTTTAACCCAACTTGGAATTTTGCTGGAATGGCTGTTTTTCTTTCTCTGGAGCTGGAAATCAGCTGGGCCTGTTTTAAATGTTTTGTCCACAGGATTATCAGCAGGGAGATATGCCTCCTGCTGGAAGTTAAAAAGCACATGGTGCACTTTTTAAATTAAATTAAATACATGGTGTATTTAAGGAAGCAGTGAGAAGGGGGAGAGAGAGAGAGAGAGAGAGAGAGAGAGAGAGAGATTTAAAAAACACAATACTGGTTAAGGACTATTTTTTAGTACTGTCATAACTGGTACAGGGAAAGAAAGGAAAAAACTGGGAAGAGAGGGAGGAATTAAGGGAGGGAGGGAAGGAAGGAAGGAAGGAAGAAGGGAGGGAGGGAGGGCCTCCCCTGGCACTCATGTTATTACGCAAAAATAAAGAACAATAAACAAATCAAACGATTTATTCAAGAGGTGCTAATCCTGGAATTCTGCATCAGTAAAATAGAACAATTGGCCTTGAACACTTTGGCTAGCAATGTGCAAACTCCCAAACGTTGCAGAAGGCAGTCAACCATCTCCTTAAAGATCCAGCCCGGAAGAAGAAGCTCCGAAGCAGGTTTGACGGGAAACCTTTCCCAGGATCAGTCCTCCAAGTTACGGAAGGCGTTCTGCATCTCCTCATTCAGCTGGGCGTAGCAGGCCTTTATCTTGGCCTCGCCATCCTTTCCTGGATCCTACACAGAATACGGAATAACAGATTTGGAAGGGGCCTCAGAGGTCTTCTAGTCCAACCCCCTGCCCAAGCAAGAGACCCTCTTCTTTCTCTCTCTCTCTCTCTCTCTCTCTCTCTCTCTCTCTCTCTCTCTCCCATTCTGCCATTCTCACCATCATCTATGGTGATCTATCCAGCACCTATCCAGATCTATTTATCCATCAATCCATCCATCCATCACATTTATATGCCTCTCATCTTGTGATTTGATTAGCTTAGCTAATTAGATTAAGTACATCCCTGTTAATGTTTAGAACATCAAATCAGAGGGTTGGAAGGGACCTTTGAGGTCTTCCAGTCCAGCCCCTGCTCAAGCAGGAGACCTTATTGCATGCCAAATGGTTGTCCAGTCTCTTCTTCAAAACCTCGTGATGGAGCACCACCACTCTGAGAGAAAGGCTGATCTCTATCTATCTATCTATCTATCTATCTATCTATCTATCTATCTATCTACCCATCTCATAGAATCATAGGGAGGGGAGGGACTTTGGAGGTCTTCTAGTCCAACCCCCTGCCCAAGCAAGAGACCCTCTACCATCCTGTCCAATCTCTTGAAAACCTGCAGTGATGGAGCCCCCGCAACTTGTGAAGGCAAGTCTCTTGGTTTGGATGCAGGGGGAAATAAAAAAAAAAGGTCTTTTTAGTGTGCTGTTCAAATATTGCTGTGATTAATTATTCTCGCTGTCAGGAAATTCCCCCTTAGTTCTGGGTTGGACCTCTCCCAACCCCTCACCTGGAACTTCATGGAGCTGAGCTTGTACATGATGTCGGCCAGGTTCTCTCGTATGATGGCCCAGGTGATCTTGTGCTCAGATTGGGCTGTCGACTCCACGGCGTGGCGGGCCAGCTCATAAAAAGCGATCATGTTCTGCAGCATGCCCACTGTCTTGTAGAAAGGGCAGAACCTGAAGCAGCAAAGACCCAACAGATCCTAGCACACTCAGCCCACCTGGCCCTTCCTCGGAGAGCTGTGGGACACTCACTGCCCCCGGAACATCCTCCTCAGCTCTCCAGGAAGGGGGGGGAAATCAGATTTTTCTCTTGTATTGTTTTCCTACAGCAGTGTTTCCCAAACTTGACCATTTTAAGGCATGTGGACTTCAACTCCCAGAATTCCACAGCCAGCAATGCTGGCTTTGGAATTCTGGGAGTTGAAGTCCACATGCCTTAAAATGGTCAAGTTTGGGAAACACTGTCCTACAGAAAAGAGAAGGGGAAGAAAAATTCCAAGGGGGAGGGAGAGTAGATAGACCCTCTCAATTTATTAAAGATTATATACCTGGCCCACCAGGATGGGAAGCCAGGGAATTTTGGGGGTCCCATTGATCAGGGATGTCCATCTGTGGAGCCACCAAAAAGGGCCTTCTCAGTGGTGGCCCCTTCTCGGTGGAGCATCATTCCTCCAGAGGTTTGGAGGTGGCCTCCACCACGTCAGTTTCCCAAAAGGGCCTAAAGCTGCATTTTCGTCCGTGGTCCTGGGGACCCTGAATGCAGACGGCGCCGATAAAGTGGCTGATCTGACTGGGGGGGCTGCTGCCACGGCTGGAGGGGGGAGTTTCATAGAGTTTTACGCTGCGACTTTTGTTGTCAGGAACCTGAGGTCACCTGTTTGTGAACTGGGCAGCCATATACTGTACATTTGTTTCATAAATAGATACAGGTAGTCCTTGACTTACAACAGTTCGTTTAGTGACCATTTGTAGATACAATGGCACCGAAAAAACTGACTTACGACCATTTTTCACGTAATGACCATTACAGCATTCCCCAGGGTCACGTGATCAAAATTTTGGACACTTGGCAACTGGCATGTACTTATGACGGTCGGAGTGTCCCGGGGTCACGTGATCCCCTTTTGTGACTTTCTGACAAGCAACGTCAATGGGGAAGCCAGATTCACTTAGCAACCGTGTAACTAATTTAACAACTGCACTGATTCATTTAATAACTGGTACAAGGAAGATTGCAAAACGGGGCAAAATTCACTCAACAAATCTCTCACTTAGCAACAAAAATCCGGGGTTCAATTGTGGTCGTAAGTTGAGGACTACCCATCCGAACAATGACACACTGCCATGCAGTTGGTGGCTCGCTGCAGGGAGTGCCCCGGGGGCCCCGCAGACTTCACAAGCGTCCTTGAAGAGATCTGCCCTGTAAGGAAGGATGAGCTGTGAAGTTGTGAGGTTGTGAGCAGCCCTCGCATTACCTGTCGTAGGAAGAGTAGCCGTTTTGCTGCAAAAAGTCGTCTTTGATCAGCTTGGCCACCTCCAGGGTGATCTTGTCGGTTTCAGCCAGAGATGCCTGAACAATGCAAAATTGAAGAGAGGGTGTGTTTGTGTGGAAAGAGCACCGGAAGAAAGGAAGGCACAAGGGAAGGCAAACTTTGGGCTCTGTCTCAGGAAGGTTCACCTTCAGAAGAGAAAATTTGTAGCTTGGGGTGAAAGCTCTGGAGTCCTTGGTGCTCTCTGAGCTGGGTGGTTTTCTTGCAGACGTTTCAAAACCCAACTAGGTAACATCATCAGTGCTAGAAGGGAGGGGGCTTTGTGGAAAGGAGGAGGAGGAGGAGGAGGAGGAGGAGGAAGAGGAGGAAGAAGAAGAAGAAGAAGAAGAAGAAGAAGAAGAAGAAGAAGAAGAAGAAGAAGAAGAAGAAGAAGAAGAAGAAGAAGAAGAAGAAGAATAAGAAGAAGAAGAAGAAGAAGAAGAAGAAGAAGAAGAAGAAGAAGAAGAAGAAGAAGAAGAAGAAGAAGAAGAAGAAGAAGAAGAAGAAGAAGAAGAAGAAGAAGAAGAAGAAGTAGGGGACTGTGGGGTCCTTGGTGCTCTCTGAGCTTGGTGGTTTTCTTGCCGATGTTTCGTTACTCAACTAGGTAACATCAGCAGTGCTAGAAGGGAATGGGGATTGTAGGGAGGAGGAGGAGCAGCAGCAGCAGCAGCAGGAGCACCTAAAAATGTTGGTGGGATGGGGTTTTCTCCTTGGCGGTTCCTTGATTACAGTATTGTTTTCTCTTTATTTGTCTCCCGCTTAAGTAGGGGGTGGACTAGATAGAAGACCTCCAAGGTCCCTTTTACAGTATTCTATGATGGACACGCATCCTACCTTTCCCACCAGCTGGACAATCTCAGCCAGGTCCTCCTCCTCCTGCAGGATCTCCTTGGCCTTCGTCCGCAGGGAGATGAATTCCGGGAAGAGCCTCTCGTAGTGCTCGTCCAGGGCCCGCGTATATTTGCTGTAGCTGATCAGCCAGTTCACGGAGGGGAAATGCTTCCGCTGAGCTAGCTTCTTATCCAGGCCCCAGAAGACCTGGGTTTGGGGCAGAAAGGAAAATCTGACGCAAATATTATTTTATTTTATTATTATTTTATTTTATTATTATTTTATTTTATATTTTATTTTATTTATCATTTTATTTTATTTATCATTTTATTTTAATGTTATTGTTTATGTTATTTTATATTACATTATTTCATTTTGAAATTTTACACAGGAGCAGTGGTGGGGGCGCAGTGATTAAAGTGCAGTTATTGCAGGCTGACTCTGCCCACTGCCAGGAGTTCGATCCTGACCAGCTCAAGGTTGACTCAGCCTTTCATCCTTCCGAGGTCAGTAAAATGAGGACCCAGAGCGTTGAGGTGGGGGGCAACATGCTGACTGTAAGGACCCACCCCACTTTGCATCTTAAGAAGACAGAACTCTTGGAATATTTCTTCCAACAGGCAACCTTTATTAAGAGAAAATGGTTGCAGGCATTCTAGACAGGACTTGGGGTCCAAGCTCTCCCATTCAAGGTTTTAAGGGGTTCCCCAGTAGTCCCACCCAATCACCCCCTTCTTCCAGCGACAGTCTCAGGCATTACACTCCCACCCCCTTTTCCTTACTGCCGGCTGGATGGAGACTTCAGAGAAAACTACATGAAAGCCTTTGTTATGATAAGTCCTTTTGGTGCTACCAACATTCAATCCCTTTGAAGTTGTACCGAAGGAAGTGAGGGCCATAAAGCCCCTTTGTTCACACACACACCCCCATTCTTTTATGACAGAATCCAGAGAGGGCAGAAATGGGGTTTTCTATAATTGATAACTAGAGATGAAATATAATTGGATTCTGACACTGACCTTTGTAAACTGCTCAGAGAAGGCCGTAAAGTGCTATGGAGCAGTGTATAAGTAAGTCTAAATGCTATTTGTTATTATATGGCTGCCCAAATCATTCACAGTGACTTTGGACAGCTTACAAAAGTAAAACCCCAAATACAAAACCCTGATATACCCCCCCCCCCCCGGCGACAACCATCAAACCCGCCACTTGGTGGGCTCCGTATCCCGCTGGCTCCCAGGTCTGCTGGCAGAACCATGTTTTCAGAGCCTTCCAAAACAGAGTCAAGATGGGGGCCTGTCTTATCTCCACAAGGAGGATGTTCCACAGGGAGGGAACCACCATGGAGAAGTCCTTCTTCTGGGTCCCACCAGGAGGGCCTCCTAAAGGGAGATGACCCGTAACATCCCGTCTCCCCACTCTGGTGGGTGACTGGGAAAAGACGGTCTTTCAACCCTAACCTGGCCTTAAGCCATGGAGGCCTTTGAAGGCGACAAGCAGCATCTTGAATTGGACCCGGAAGCGAATCAGCAGCCAGCGCAGCTCCCGCAAGAGAGGTGACATGTGTGCAATTCTAGACTTGCAAAAAACCATGCGGGCCACTGCATTTTGAATTGATTGAAGCTTCCGGATACTCTCCAAGAGCAGCCCCATGTAGAGAGCATTGCAGCAGTCAAGACAGGAGGGCGTGGATTTGTTTGCTGTGGGATTGCTGGACCAGGAAAGGGGTTGGATGTTCCAGGGGGCGCTAAGGATGCGGAAGCAGTGAAACACTACTCACCTGGACAATCCCCAGGGTTGCAGAGGTCACTGGATCTGAGAAATCCCCGCCAGGAGGGGACACCCTACAAGAAACAGGCACACGAAAGCTGGTCAAATGCATAAATCTCGAATATTTGCACACCTCAGTTCAGCCAAAGGTGATTTCTCCTCCCACGAACAGCTGAAGTTGGTTTACAAAACTTTCCCGTCACTGGCAATCAATGTCTTGATGAAAACATTGACAGATTTCAACAAAGCCCGTGATTGGCTTGCAAAATAAAGAGATCTGATGTTAAAAGATCTTTAATGGCTCAGAAAGCTTTCCTATAGTATAAAGGCTGCTGTTACGTGGTTTTTGCACGGCCTCCCTCCAGCAAGAGACGGGAAAGAGAATCTGGCAACTTACGCGCCAACGATGCTGACGCTACCCTCTCGCTCGGGACTCCCCAGGCACTTGACCCGGCCGGCCCGTTCATAGAAGGACGCCAAGCGGGCGCCCAGGTAGGCCGGGTACCCACTATCTGCAAAGAAAAAGAGAGTTTTCATCTTTTGTGGCTTGGAAAAAAATGTGAAAGTTGAGAAGGGAATGAAGACGCAGAAAGATCCATTTCTTCTGAATGGGGTTCTCAACCTGGACGACTTTAAGACTGGTGGACTTTGACTCCCAGAATCCCCCACTGCATCTTGGAAACCTAATCAATGTTTCTCTATCTCAGCATTTTTAAGATATGTGGATTTCAATTCCCAGTATCCCCCATGTGTTCAAAGGGAAGGCCAGGAACTGGGTATATTTAGTCCAGGGGCCTCCAACCTTGGCAACTTTAAGGCTTGTGGACTTCAACTCCCAGAATTCCCTAGCCAGCATGGGGAATTAAAGTTGCCAAGTCTGGAGATCTCTGGTCTAGCTTTGAAAAGAAGGATTAGGAGTGATATGATAGCAGCCTTCCAATATTTGAGGGGCTGCCACAAAGAAGAGGGGGGTCAGGCTATTCTCCAAAGCACCAGAGGGCAGGACAAGAAGCAACATGTGGAAACTAATCAAGGAGAGAAGCAACCTGGGATTAAGGAAGAACTTCCTGACAGTTAGAACAATTAACCAGTGGAACAGCTTCCCTCCAGAAGTTGTGGGGGCTCCATCACTGGAGGTTTTCAACAAGAGACTGGACAGCCATTTGTCCATGATGGTATAAGGTCTGTTACCTGAGCAGGGGGTTGGACTAGATGACCTCCAAGGTCCCTCTCAACTTTCCTACTATGCCCAAATATCAGCCATTTTTGAGAAATATTGATTAAGAAATCAAAGAAAAGTAAGAAAAATCAACCTGCAGGCATTTCAGCCAAACGTCCAGAAATCTCGCGAAGGGCTTCCGCCCAGCGGGAGGTGGAATCGGCCATCATGCTAACGTGGTATCCCATGTCCCGGAAATATTCCGAAAGGGTGATTCCTGGGAGAAAAAAAGAGGAAGAAAGAAAGAAAGGAAGGAAGGAAGGAAGGAAGGAAGGAAGGAAGGAAGGAAGGAAGAAAGAAAGAAAGAAAGAAAGAAAGAAAGAAAGAAAGAAAGAAAGAAAGAAAGAAAGAAAGAAAGAAAGAAAGAAAGAAAGAAAGAAAGAAGGAAAGGATTACAGGAAGATTCCAAAACAAATTAAAGAGGTTTTGTTTGTCCCTTCCTATCTTTGTGTGGTAGTGATTTTATCAAAAGAGAAGTGTGTGCAAAACCTGGAAAGGGAGACCATTTGCTCACTTTGTGACATTGGCCGTCTTGACAGCAGCATCTGGCTATCCTTGGCTGAAAAAGTTATTAATATTAATCACCTGAAAATTTCAGAGTGATACAAATAGTCCTTGACATACAAACATTCACTTAATGACTGTTCATGGTTACAACAGCAGTGAAAAAAGTCACGACCGGTCCTCACACCTGCGACCGTCACAGCATGCCTTTCTTAATTTGGCTTTAGGGTTTAGCAGTGGGGCATCTGTGGGGTGCCAACTCTGATCCAAAGAGAATCTTTTAGCAAAAACAATGTGGTTCTTAATTCATTTAATTTTTAAATTATAAAAATTGCTTCGGAAGCCCTTATTGTGGCTGTGGTTCCGGAGGGGGAGAATGGGGGGGTGGCATGAAAAAGCTCCTCACCGGTGTAAATGGAGGCTTCCCGAGCAGCCACGGGCATGTTGGATGTATTGGCCACCAGCGAGGTCCTCTTCATGATGGTCTCCGTCTTCCCATCTACTTCCATGGTGAGCTAAGAGGTGAGAGCAGAATAATGGGAAATGGGGGAGAGATTGGGAAGGGGGGGGGAGTAAAGGAAGGTAGGGCAGGAGACATTTAACATTTCAGACAAGTGGCTGTCCAGTCTCTTCTTAAAGACATCCAGTGATGGAGCACCCACGATTTCTGGTTGCAAGCTGTTCCACTGGTTAATTGTCCTCACTGTTAGGAAGTTTCTCCTTAATTTCAGGTTGCTTTTCTCTTTGGTCAGTTTCCAACCATTGTTTCTCGTCCTGCCCTCTGGTACTTTGGAGAATAGTTTGACCCCCTCTGCCTTGTGGCAGCCCCTCAAATACTGGAACACTGCTATCATGTTGCCCCAATTTCTTCTTTTCTTTAGACTAGCCAAACCCAAATCCTGCAGCTGTTCTTCGTATGTTTTAGTCTCCAGATCTTGGATCATCTTAGTTGCTCTTCTCTGAACTTTTTCCAAGGTCTCAACATCTTTTTTTGTGATATGGTGACCAAAATTGGCTGCAATATTCCAGGTGTGGTCTCACTAGGGCTTTATAAAGCGGTACTAATATTTCACATCTCCCCCTTTCCTTCCAGATCATTATCCACCATTGCCATCAAGGAAAAGGGGGTCCTCCAGATCTTTGCACCCAGATGAAGAGCAACAGTGGTTCTGGCTGGTGTCCTTGCTATCCTCACCTCAGGAAAGTCCCTGAGCACCTCCGACATCTCGTTCCCGCGCTCTCCGCAGCCCACGTAGATGATGACATCGCTGTTGGAGTACTTGGACAGAGACTGGGAGATGACCGTCTTCCCACATCCAAAGGCACCCGGGATGGCTGTGGTGCCACCTTGGACACACCTGGAAGAGGAGGGCAGAAGGAGAGACCCCCCCCCTCCCAGTCAACTCGTCATGAGTGCCTCAGAGAGGTTTCAGCCGAAGTGATGAGACAAGGATTGAATTCACCCAACCATAAAGAACCAAGCACACCCTTGGACAAAGGAATTCAGTTTCTCCTGCAAATAGGATTAATTGGATAAACCGTGGTTAACTCAACCAGTGGGAAGTGGCCCTTCTGAGACAGTGGCTGAATTTCTAAGTGCTTCCTATGGTACAGGTTGTCCTTGACTTAAATCCATTCATTTAGTGACCGTTCAAATTACAACAGCACTGAAAAAAGGGACTTATGACCGTTTTTCACACTTACGACCGTTGCAGCATCCCCATGGTCATGTGATCAAAATTCAGATGCTTGCCAACTGGTTCATATTTATGACGGTTGCAGTGTCCCAGGGTCATGTTATCCCCTTTTGCGACCTTCCCTTCCCTTCCAGCTCTGCTCTACTCTACTCTACTCTACTCTACTCTATTCTATTCTCCTAACAACTAAACAACCCCAGTGAAACTGAATTGAAACTTAGGTTTGGTCAGTGATGACTCACTTAATGAATGCACCACTTAGTGACCGAAATTCCAGTCCCAATTGTGGTCATAAATTGAGGACTACTTGCATAACTTTAGAACAGTGGTTCTCAACCTGTGGGTCGGGACCCCATTTGGGGTCAAATGACCATTTCACGGGGGTCGCCAAACAAGGCTGTCCGCCATTTTTTCCCTTTCCTTTGGCCACGCCCCTGGCACCCGGTGATGTATAAGTGGTTGGGGGTCACCACAATATGGGGAACTGTATTATGGGGTCGCGACATTAGAGAGGTTGAGAACCACTGCTTTAGAATCTCTTGCAAATTTAGCAATCGGGGTTTGATTTGAAGTCATCCCTCGTGGAAGCCATGTCAGAAAAAGGATCTTGAAAAACGGGTGGGCAACTGTGGCCCCTTTATGACCTCTGGACTTCAACTCCCAGAAGTCCCAAGCCCAGTAGAGTTCAGAGTTGAAGCAGAGTTGAAGTCCGCAGGTCGTAAAGGGATCAGCAACCTTCCCTTTGAAGGTTGAAGTCCACCTGTCGAAGAGGGATCAGCAACCTTCCCTTTCTTACAAAAATGATGGCTTACGGAAAGAGCGCATCCAGGACCCTCTGGCCAGTAAGCAGGGGATGATTGGCCGGGAGCTTCTCGGAGACCGGACGGATCTGCCGGACGGGCCAGACTTGCATCATCGTCAATTTCTCCTTGACACCCTCGAAGTCAAGCTCCAACACCATGTCCTTTGGGGAGGAAGACAAGGAATTATGGGCAGGAAGTGTTTGCCATGGGTTCAAATCTTGTCTTGGCTCAACTCTCTGAGGAAGCTGACTTTCCTTGACTGATTCTGATTTTGTTCTTAGGACAGTGTTTTTCAATCTTGGCAAGTAGAAGATACGTGGACTTCAACGGCCAGAATTCTGGGAGCTGAAGTCCAACCATTGCCAGAGTCTGAGGTAGCGTTCTCCCAGATGGACGGGTGAAATCAATTTATAGAACATAGAATCATTCCGTCAATGCTTGGTAACATTGGATATTCTTGCTTTGACAATTGATGAAAATGCAACCATTTTCTCTATTCCTTTCACATGCTTTTTCTTGCTTTAGAAATTAGGTGGTAGTGGTGGAAAGCTCAACTAGCCATAACATAACACTGTGGTGGGAACCCAAGGACAAGCTGATAACGTTTTGGTGGGCTGTGTAGCTAAGGAGAAAGCCCCCGCTTTAAGCTAATTGGGGAATGTGATTTATGACAGTTTATTGGGGGTGGGAATTGCACTTTGTTACTTTGTTATCAGGGGGAAGGGAATCTAGTTTTTGGGTTCAACTATGTCGTACCGATACTTTGTTTCCCGAATAAAAGATTCTTTAAGGAAAACAATGCCTTGAAGTTCTTTTGAAGGATTTCATCTATCGGAACCATGATACACACAGTTAGAAGATCTTCTACTCCAACCCTTTGCTCACGCAGGACACCTTATACCATTCCAGACTAGTGGTTGTTCAGGCTCTTCTTAAAAACCTCCGGTGATGAAGCACCCACAACTTCTGGAGACAAGTCGTTCCATTGGTTAATTGTTCTCACTATCAGGGAGTTCCAGGTTGCTTCTCTTCTTGATGAGTTTCTATCCATTATTTTTTGCTTTCTGGTGCTTTGGAAAATAAGTTAACCCCCTCTTCTTTGGAGCAGCCCCTCAAATATCAGAAGAGTGCTATCATGTCACCCCTAATCCTTCTTTTCATTAAACTAGACATACCCAGTTCCTGCAGCTGTTCTTCATGTGTTTTAACCTACACACACACACACACGAACACAATCGTCTTTGTTGCTCTTTTCTGCACTCTTTCTAGAATCTCAGTAACTAGTAACATATTTTATATCATGGTGACCGAACCGGACACAGTATTCTAAGTGTGATTTGACCAGTGCAGCATAAAACGGTCCTATCAGCGCCCTATTTTCTGGCAATTTCTGTCAAGGTAATGATTTAAAAGCTAACCAGCTGATGTAATGTGAGATGTATGATGTAATTTTGGGAATGACTCAGCAGGATCTGTGTCCCTTTAAGAGCCAGCAAGGTCTGTGTCTCTTTAAGAGCCTTTGTATAAAAGGAAGGCTCTGCTGTGTGTTCTCTTTCTTCTGTTTTCCTGCTGTAACTGCTGTGTGTTGGAGACTACTGGATTAACAAGTGTATGTATATTGTTCCTTGTGTATGATATTGTAGATAGTGTAAGATAAACCACCATTTATTATAGACCATTGTTTATGTGTTTGCTCCTGGGTTATCTCAGTGCAATAAGGCTATGCATGCTCTGACACATCTCGTCCCTTTGCATCTGGGGCTGAACGATCCCTTTGCAGAGACACCACTTACCGAAATGTCGTAGTTGCCAGCTGGGGCAATGTGAGTGACGGTGCCACGGCTTCGGGGTGGCACCATGATCATATGCTTGATGAGGGAATTTTCATGCACCATCCCATAAATGTCCCCTCCAGTTAAATGGCTCCCAACCTGCAAAGAAAAGGACCGCTGCTTTAAACAATTTTGATGCTCTGGAGATGTGGCTATCCATTTTTCTACGAATGGGAGAAAGTGCTGACCTTCTCCATTTATAATTTCTTTTTTTGCAAATTTCCATTCCTCTTTCCAGGTTCTAAGAAGCCAATTACAGACAGTCCTTATGACCACAACTGAGCCCAAAATTTATTTTGTTAAGTGAGTTGTGCTCCATTTTATGACCTTTCTTGCCACAGTTGTTAAGCGAATCACTGCAGTTTTAAGTTAGTAACACGGTTGTTGAGTGATTCTGGCTTTCCCATTGACTTTGCTTGTCAGAAGGTTCCAAAAGGTGATTATTACATGACCCCGGGACACTGCAGCCGTCAGAGTCACGAGTCAATTGTCAAGAGTCTGAATTTTGACCATGGGAATGCTGCAACAATTGTAAGTGTGAAAAATGGTCCTACAACATTTTTTTCAGTGCTGTTGTAACTTCAAATGGTCACTAAATGAACTGTCGAGGACTACCTGTGTAGTCTGACTTCCGCAGTTCACTTCCCCTGAATTAGATCTGAGGCCACCCTTTCCAAGTAGCGTCCACCTGGATGGAGCATCACCAACTGACCCTTCCCTGCACCGCTGTTTGTCTCTTACCCGAATGTTGGAACCCGGCTTAAAGTCCCACTTCAGGTCCCGGGATAAAGCGGAGATGTTGATTCCCCTGGGAATGTAGATGCTCTTGGTGAGCTCCGTGATGTCCTTCAGAGGGCGCTGGATCCCGTCAAAGATGGACCCCATGATCCCAGGCCCAAGAACCACGGAGAGCGGCTTCCCCGTTCGCAGCACAGGGTCCCCCACGCAAACCCCCGCTACAGGGATAGCTCAGGAAAAAAGAGGGGTGCACAGCAGGGAAAAAAGAGAAGGAAGGTACAGTCTCTGGTAGGGGAACGAGGCATTTTGGGCTGGGGAAAGTCACATCCTGGCTTAATCCTGGCTTAAACCCTGTCTACGGAGATTGTCTTAGCAAGCAAGAGCAGAAAGCTGAGATGCATGAGGGCTTCCATCTTTCCTGAAGTTTTGAGGTTAGGTTTCGACAATTAGATTGACTTGGCTGTTATAGAAATGGTTTGAATTTACTAGAAATGTAAAGCAAAGAAGGTTGTAACTTTCCCTGTGTTCTACTACACTGAAAAAAGTCAGAAATCAGAACTTTTTTCTTTTTCTTTATCTTTGCACCTTCACCTTTTGTTATCCTCCATCTTTCTTGACTTTTGCTTCTCTTTGTACTTTATCTTGTAATAAACATTAATAAAATGCTCTTTTCATTTGGGTGAGGAATGTTAAATTTACACAAGCCCAAAATTTACGGGAAAATTTCTATAAAATGTTTTATAGATGGCACCTTGATCCACAAAAAATGTCTCGTATGTATTCAAACTTGCAACCTAAATGGAGATGTGGTTGCTTGGATGCCACTTATTATCATATCTGGTGGTCATGTAAAAGCATAAAAGCTTTTTGGATTAAGATATGGTGGAATATACAAAGAATTTTCAAAAGAAGAATAAAATTTATTCCACAATTGTTTTTGTTGGGTATTGTCTCTGATTGTGACAACAAAGAAATTATTTTAATATTAAACTTAATCACAGCGGCAAGGTTGTTAATAGGACAGTATTGGAAGAAGGAATTTTTGCCTACTTTGCAGGAATGGTTTCTTAAAGTTTCTTACCTATCTGAAATGGCAAAAATTTCGGCTTTTTTGAAAGATCAATCGCAAGAGAAGTATCTCTTGTTGTGGAAAAGATGGATAAATTTTATACAATATAGGTATGATATTAGAAAATATCATTTAGCTTTTGAATAATTTATATTTAAAGTTTAAGATATTATTTAGAAGTGTAGAATAGTTTAGTTTTTCTCTCTTTTTTTCCTTTTATTATTTTTTTTATTTTCTTTCTTTTCTTCTTTTTCTCTTTCTGTTTTTTTTTATACACAATAGAGTTAATGTATTTAACAATTTGCTCATTGGATATAATCATATTTGTTTGTGGTTTATTTGAGTTTATAAGCTTTTTCTAGTACGTTTTAGTTAACTCTGTATCTAGCTCTGGGAAGAATGGGGGAGGGTTTTGGGGAGGGTTGGGAGGGATTGGGAAAGGGGTTTTTATTGTAAAATTGTAAAAAAATTATAATAATTAAAAAAAAAAGAGGATTTCCATCTCGTTTCTGGCATGTAACAAATGAACTCTTGAAAACCTCCAGGGATGGAGCACCTACAACTCTACCTACTGCGAGAAGGAGAGAGACCCTGGAAATGAAGAGTTAGCAAATGGGACAAGGGAAATGGGATGCCCCCAGAAGGATACAGGTCTCCTCGTACACTTGGACGGTGGCCAGATCGCCATCCAGCCGGATTATCTCGCCCACCAATTCAAAGTGGCCAACACGGACCAGCTCATACATCGCTGCCCCCGCCATCTTGCAGGCAATCACCACTGTTGGGAAATTTTTAAAAAAGTATTTTTAGCGGAGGAAAAAAAATGCTTGAGTAAGCTGCAGAAGAGAAAAAAGTCTATTGGAGACAGGATAATCTTACTAGTGTTTCTCAATCTTGACCACTTGAAGATGGGTGGACTTCAACTCCCAGAATTCCCCAGCCAGCATAGATAGCTGGAGAATTCTGGGAGTTGAAGCCCACCCATCTTCAAGTGGCCAAGGTTGAGAAACACAGACTTTTGCCAACATCTAAATAGGGATATCTACACTTCAGCCTCCACCTTCATCGGGTTGACTTTCATCCAACATTCAAAACTCAGCAATAAATTAGCAGTCGCTATTAGAAATACAGACTATCCCAACCATGCTTGAGGAATTCTGCCAAGATTTTATTTTAAACCAGTGATTCTCAACCTTTTTAATGCCGCAACCCCCAACCAGTCGTAAGTCGAGGACTACTCAACTGGTGCAGCACCGTTTGCAGAATGGGACTTTTGGCGGGCTCAGCAGGGCAGAGACAGCCTGGACAATTCCTATTGGCTTTTGAAAGCCAATAGAATTAGACTCTATTCAAGAGAGGCTATTCTATGGGCTTTCAAAAGCCAATAGAATAAAAGGGAGTAGCACAGCTAAGGAAAAGGGGGAAAAAAATGGCGGACTGTGTTGTTTGGCGACCCCCGTGAAATGGTCATTTGACCCCAAATGGGGTCCCGACACACAGGTTGAGAACCGCTGTTTTAAACAGTTTAAAGGTCCAAGGAGTGTAGTGACGTCCTTCATTTTCTTTAAAAAAAAAAAACTACATAAAGAATTTCAGCTACTCGCCTGTTGACATTCATGCAAAATCTTAGAGCATCATCCTTCTCATATGGAATCTCTGTTTATCCACCAGGATTGTTTGTTAGATTTATATTTCATCTTAATTTCTCCAAAAACCTCTTATATAGTATTCTTATATAAAGTTCCTTGGATTTTAGATTTGAAGGTTGGCAACCCAGCACCCAAATTGAGAGGGAGATCCAAAGGCCGCTAGGTGGCACTCAGGAGCCTCTGTTCTTTTTTTTTGAAAAGAAATAAAAATTAAGAAAAGTTCTAAGTTTTCTTTGATAGCCAATTCTTACCCAGTCTCTACATTAAATTTGTACTCTTTGCAGTTTAAAAATACTGGTAAAACTTGTGGAAGGGAAGCAGCTTAACAATACGCAAAATCACACACAAAATTGCCTTGCATCTTTTTTTAATTGCACCTTGTTGTGAATTTTTGAAAAAGCACAGCAGAGCAAAAACGCGCACCAGAAACAGTTCCTGCCCCGATGCCATGGTTGTCCTGAAGCACACCAGCTAATTATAGGTAGTCCTTATGACTTATGAAATTCTGGGACCAGAATTTCCGTTACTGAGCAAGGCGGTTGTTAAGTGGGTCCTGCCTGATTTTACGATCTTTTTTTTTTTGCCAGCTGTTAAGCAGATCCAGTTAATAGCTGCAGTGATTCACTTAACAACTGAATTAAGCCGAGGTGGCGCAGCAGTTCGAGTGCAGTACTGCAGGCCACTTTAGCTGACTGTGTTCAGCAGGTCAGCGGTTCAAATCTCACCGGCTCAAGGTTGACTCAGCCTTCCATCCTTCCGGGGTTAGGTAAAATGAGGACCCAGATTGTTGGGGGCAATGTAAATATATATATATATACATTGCTTACTGGTGTACACCGCTTAGAGAGTGCTTGCACTTAAAAGCGGTATATAAGTCTCATAAATAAATAAATAAATTGTGGCAAAAAAAGGTCATAAAATCAGGTGGGACCCACTTAACAACCGCTTTGCTTAGCAACCGAAATGTGACTGTGAAGTGAAACCAGCTTGCTCCATGGACTTTGCTTCTTGGAAGACAGCCAGGAAGATCCCAAAGGATGACCACGTGACCCTGGGATGCCGGACTTTCATCCCTTGACTGTGCGGATGGCTACAATGGCTGGAGGTGTTAGGACGGGTCATAAGTCACTTATTTCAATATCATTGTAACTTTGAACAGTCCACTAAACAAATGGTTGTAGGTCAAGGACTTACTTTAAAACAGTGGTTCTCAACCTTTTTAATGCCGCGACTCCCAACCGGTCGTAAGTCAAGGACTACTCAACCGGTCGTAAGTCGAGGACTACTCAACTGGTGCAGCACCGTTTGCAGAATGGGACTTTTGGCGGGCTCAGCAGGGCAGAGACAGCCTGGACAATTCCTATTGGCTTTGGAAAGCCAATAGAATTAGACTCTATTCAAGAGAGTCTATTCTATTGGCTTTCAAAAGCCAAGAGAATAAAAGGGAGTAGCACAGCTAAGGAAAAGGGGGGGGGGAATGGCGGAGTGTGTTGTTTGGCGACCACCGTGAAATGGTCGTTCGACCCCAAATGGGGTCCCGACCCTCAGGTTGAGAACCGCTGCTTTAAAATATTAAATACCCTTCACGCGGAAAGTGTGAAGAATCGAATCATGATGACTTTGAGTCTTAGAGGGAACAAACCGGATGACTTAATGTGTTGCATAATCCACCCATGATGGTTTATGAGCCACTGCTTAATGGCTTCATGTGTTAGGTGAAATCTAAATTATGATTTAGCGCTGGGTTCTCCAAAAACTCCTTCTCCCTTACTATATATTCTATGTAGCCATCCTCTAAACCAGTGGGTTTTCTATTAAAAAAGAATCTGAAACTAATCCAAAAGATTTCTATTCCCTGCAGGAAAAAAAAAAACCTGCCCTGAATTAGGAGAACTTTTGAGAAAAATTCAAGCTTTCTGACAGGATGTTATAACTCATGCCAGAGATTAGATTAAACAGCCTCATTGCAATTTTTATGAGAATGTCATTTAAGGTCAGTTTAACTTTGAGACCCTGCTGTAACCTTAAAGGACAGGATAAGAAATGCAGATGAAATAAGCAGGTAATAAAAAATTAGAATGTCGAACAGACTCCTAGGACAGGAAGAGACCTCAGAGGTCTTCTAGTCCAACCCCCTGCTCAAGTAGGAGACCTCACTGCATCCTGGACAAATGGCTGTCCAGTCTTTTCTTGAAAATCTCCAGTGATGGAGCATCCGCAACCTTTGGAGGGAAGCCGTTCCACTGGTTGATTGTCTTCACTGTCAGGAAATTTCTCCTTAATTCTCTCCTTGATAATTGAGGAGTCTTTGGTGCTCTCCGAGTTTGGTGGTTTTCTTGCAGACATTTCATTACCCAAATGAGATAACATCATTGACTAGCACTGATGATGTTATCTAGTCTGGAAGAAGACCACCAAGCTCAGAGAGCACCAGTGACCCCAAAGTCATTGTCGTTGTCCTCCTCCCTACAAACCCCACGCCCCTTTATGTTTCATGATCCAACTGGTTCAATGTTGTGATGTCATGAAACATCTGCAAGAAAATAGCCAAGCTCAAAGAGCATTGAGGACACCTGTCAGAATCCAATTATATTTCATCTCTAGTTATCAAATATAGAAAACCCCAATTCTGCCTTCTCTGGATTCTGCCATACGAGGAAGGGAAGGGGGTGAACAAAGGGGCTTTATGGCCCTCACTTCTTTCAGTATACTTCAAAGGAAGTGAATGTGCGTATTGCAAAAGAACTAACCATAAGAATGGGGCCATTTCCTTTCATGTAGTTTCTTTGAAGTCTCCATCCAGCTGGGCAGTAAGGAAAAGGGGGTGGAAGTGTAATGCCCGAGACTGTCGCTGAAAGAGGGGGTTGATTGGGTGGGGCTACTGGGGAACCCCTTAAAACCTTGAATTGGAGAGCTTGGACCCCAAGTCCTGTCTAGAACGCCTGCAACCATCTTCTCTTAATAAAGGATGCCTGTTGGAAGAATTATTCCAAGAGTTCTGTCTTCTTAAGATGCAAAGTGGGGTGGGTCCTTACAACACCTCAAGTTTCCATCCACTGTTTCTGGTCCTGTCCTCAGTGCTTTTCAGAATAGGTCAACCTCCTCTTCTCTGTGACAGCCCCTCAAGCACTGGAAGACAGCTATCATGTTATCCCTAGTCCTACTCATTCCTCATTCTCACTCCCCATTTTTCTCTGCAGACAGTTAAAATGGATACTTTAGCTTCTTCGGTTCTCAGCCAACCTACCAGGCCCAGAGACGCCATGGACAAATCCCAATTCGCTCTCCTTTTCGGCATCTCCAATCTTGGGAAGCTCGGAGAATTCCATAGCTCTTGCCGGTCAATTAAAGCAGCCGGATCCCAGTTCTACAGCAACCACAAGCTCTGTGTCACAGAGGGCGAAAAATCACCAGATATAAAATAAGTCAATGAAAACAGCAGGACATATTTTAAAAAAACCAAACCCTTCTCACTCTTCTTTCAAGTGAAGGGACCAAGCTCCCTGAAGGACTCCTAATTTGTGATTTGAGTGGCCAAATTTTGGAGCCTCTGAGCCTGAGAAGATCACGGACCTCAGAGGTCTTCTAGTCCCACCCCTTGTTCAAGGCAGGAAACCTTATACCATTCTGGTCAAATGGCTGTCCAATCTCTTCACAAAAACTTCCAGTGATGGAGCATCCATAAAATCTGAAGGCAAACCGTTCCACTGATTAATTGTTCTTACTGTCAGGAAATTTCTCATTAGTTCTAGGTTAGTTCTTTCCTTGATTAGTTTCCATCTATTGCTCCTTGTCCTGCCTTTTCAGATGATTTGGAGAATAGGTTGGCCCCGTCTTCCCTGTGGCAGTCCCTCAAACACTGGAAGACTGCTATCATGTCACCCTTAAACCTTCTCTTAATTAGACTAGACAATACCCAATTCTTGCAACTGTACTTCATATATTTTAGCTTCCAGTCCCTTAATCATCTTTGTTGCTCTTCTCTGCACTCTTCCTAGGGTCTCAACATTTTTCTTATATGGTGGTGACCAAAATTGGACACAGCACATCGTCCTGAGTCTGGTGAGTGCATAAAAAATGGAATTATAGGAAATAGCCATTAAAGTTTAAGTCAAGCTCATCTTACCATTGAGAAGGTGGAAATTTTTCTAGGAGTTGGCACCACCTGCTCAGTATACACTTTCCTTTCCTCCGTCAGGCAAGTAGGGTGGGATGCCTGCTCTGTCTTCAGCAGGAAACAGAGGGGTTCTGATGGAGGAGTAAACCTGGAGTAAGAGACTTGCTGATCCCTCCAAGCTAGTTCTAACCTGAATGGGCACCCAGGATCTGGAAGGGGATGGAGGGCACTGGAAGAGAGAGACACAGTCAAGCTTTCTTGGCAACAGAAAACCACTCCCTGTGTGTGTAGTGTCAACAACCTGGCCTCCTATGACATACTCCACAGCAGCAGAAACTCTGACCTTCAAATCTTCCCCATTAAAGGAGCTTTTTCCTACACCTGTTTGTGCAAGAGAAATAACATTTCTGCATGCAGGTATTTCAAGCAAAGGAGAGGATACAGAATACAGAATGCAAAATAACAGATTTGAAGGGATCTTGGAGGTCTTCTAATCCAACCCCCACATAGAGCAGGAGAGTCTAAACCAGGGGTCTTCAAACTCGGCCCTTTTATGACTCGTGGACTTCAACTCCCAGAATTCCTCAGCCAGGCATGTTGGCTGAGGAATTCTGGGAGTTGAAGTCCACGAGTCATAAAGGGCCAAGTTTGAAGGCCCCTGGTCTAAACCATTCTGGACAAATGGCTGTCAAATCTCTTCCTCCTAGCTTGCTGAACCCAGTTCAATAATTAATTTATTTTGGGGTTTGCACAAGATCCTGAACTGTAATCTAATAACCAACAAGATTGTCACAGCACGATGAAGGTGTACATATGAGAACCTGATCAAAGTTAATCCTTCTAATCTTCAAAAGCTAAATTAAAGTTTCATATATTTTTTTATTCAAAGAAAAAGCCCAAGTGGAAAGAAAGCTAGATAAGTTCTTTTCTTTAAGATTGGAATTATTTTATTGTTATAGAAATCACCAGAGATTTTCAAAAATAGATTGGACAACCATTTGACTAGATTTGTATGAGATTTCCTGCCTTGGGAAGGGGTTGGACTAGATGATCTCCAAGGCCCCTTCCACATATAGGATTCAGTTATTCTAAATGGCTTGAAATGTTCAGAAATATAAAGCAAAAAGTTTAGGCTGCCATTCTTCTTTTTATTTTACTGCACTGAAAAAAAGTCAGAAGTCAGTATTTTTTCCCCCATTCTTTTTCTCTCTCTTTGCACCCTTTTTTCTCTCTTTTCACTGTTTGTACTTGTATTTTATTCTACAACACACTTTAATAAAACATGGGGGGGAAATAACCATAAGGGACGATTTCAGCCAGAGGCAGCTTTTTCTAGTATTGTAAGATAGGAGAGTGTCAAATCTGGCAGAGAATATCTATTCAAGGTGACTCTTAAACCTCCACTGTTTATGGAGACTGTATTAGAGCAAACAGAAATCCAGTTTCTTCCTACTTACAAATGGGATTTTATTTTATTTTATATTATTTTATTTGTGTGTGTGTGTTTTAGCTGGCATCTGTCCTGAAGCCATTTTAGCCACAGGATGAAAGAAAGAAGCTGGTTTCTGAGCAGCTTTGCATATTTGTGCATTTGCCTATTTTGTAAAAGGATGGAAAAATAATAAATGAGATGCAGATTAGAGTACAAACCAGGGAAGAAATGAGATCCTCACTTTGCAACCGCACAGGATTTTATTGGCATTTCATCCTCTAGAAGACACAAGCAGAGGAAGGTTTAATATTTAGCATTCTGACACCTTTATGATATGTTTAATATAAATACACCAAGAGCACCACAGTAAAACCCATCAGTCAACAACAGTTTCCCACTTCTGCTCTACTTTCTGTTTTGAAGCTTGGCAACTGTAAGGTGGGTGGACTTCAACTCCCAGAATTCCCCAGTCAGCATGATTTAATTGTATGGATTTCAACTCCCATAATTTCTTAACCAACATGATTTAAGATGGGTGGACTTCAGCTCCCATAATTCACCAGCCAGCATATTTTAAGATAGGTGCACTTCAGTTCCCTGAATTCCCCAGCCGACCATGTCAGCTGGGGAATTCTGGGAGTTGAAGTCCACCCGTCTTAAAGCTGCTGAGGCTAAGAAATACTGCTGTCATTTGTGTCTCAAAGCAAAACTAGGAGGGGAAAAAAACCTCCCCACATGCTCAGAGACACAGGACAGCCCCCCTCTCAGCTTCTACACACCCACAACTGGAAGACCAACACATTTTGCACGAAGGCTTCCTAATTAACTGATCGGGGCCCGTTTTCCATGGGGAAAAAAAAGAGAAGGGCTCAAAATGAACCCTTGGCACCTCCAGAAAAAAAAATAAAAACAGAGGCCTGCAAAAAAAACCCAGCCATTCTGCCTTGGAGGACTTCAATCTAAAAAACCTCTCTGCACATGCCCAGAGACTCCCAGATCATCAAGACAAGAGGTTCCCCCCCCCCTCCCATCAGCTTGGCTCCCTGCATGGCTATTTTTGCCAGTGATCTGCCAGGTCTCTGCAGTGGCATTAAAGCAGCTGTACCCCTTGGACTGCAATCCCCATACTCCCCCGCCCCTGGGCCGGAGGGGGGGGGGCTGAGGTCCATATCCCTGAAAGCAAAGATTGGAGCCAGACAGTGAGGCTCCCCCCTCCCAATCCTTGCAGCCTGCCCCACCCAGCCCAGGCCTCCACTGCCTGCCTCCTCCTTCTCTGGGCTGGCTGCGGTTGCCTAGCAACCAGGCTCTGCACCACTGCAGGGATCCCTATGGCAAGGTAGGCCCCGTGGTGGCTTGCAAAGGTGAGGACGCTGCAAGACCCACATACACACTGCCAGGGACGCCTCCTCCTGCATGGGGTGGGGGTTGAGTGTGCAAAACAGCAAGCGTGCATGCACATGGCGCCTTCACATACTTGTCATTGGGGCAGACCCAGCCCAGCCATCCCTTTGCCCTGAGCAAGAATTATTTTTGCAGGGTTTTCCCCCCACCTGCAACATTTTTCTATAGCGCGTAGCTGTTTTTTTTTTTGTTTAATTTTAGCTAGAAGACCTGATTGTTGCAATAATAGATTAGATTTTTCCTGGCATTATTCCGAAAACACAGCAATGGCTTTATTTTGGCTTGCCAGTTCTACAAATTAGCTGTTGCATCCCTCTAGCCCTCTTTCATCCCTTGTAGTGATTAAGCTATCATTTGTTAAAATTACGTTGTCTGGTTTAATATGGGTACAGTGACCCTATATTCTTGGAAAAAATGAAGCACTGATTTTTTTAAAAAAGGAGCAAATCTGAAAGAGGTTTGTAAGGATAAAAGAAGAACATTGTGGATGTTTACAAATGGGTTTGCAAAGGGAAATTTCAGAGCGAGAAAACCTGTTTGCATTTTAACCTTTTTGAAATTAAATACAAATCTTAAAAAAAAGAAAACAAAGGAAAACTTTAAAGAAAGATGTATTATAAGAAAAATATCACAAATCGAACTGTAGAGGGAAATTTATTTTAAAAAGAGGATTGCACATCATAAAATCGTGAAATATTACAATGTAAAATTTAGGAAAATGTAAAATTGTGCATTGGGAAAGACTGTGAGGATTGTGTGTTGCACAGTGTCCATACAGTGAAAGCTGAATGAGCAAGATAAGGGATAAAAGCCCATTTTTGAAAAATAAATCAACTTAAAGGAGAACTTTCTAAAAAAAAAAAAAAGACTGTCCTTTATAACAAAGAATATACGGCCAACATAACCAGGATTTGAGAATTCAGACAATTACAGTTATCAATTCTCCATATTTTAGCTCTTTACCCAGGGTTGCAAACATTTTGGTGTGAATATTGGTGTTAATGTTCCCTGCCAGCCTTTGGCAACTTGGATTACAAGCCCATAATCCCCAGCGGGTTGGTGAAGTTGAGGGCATTTGGTGAACACCCTGTCATTTCATATCCTGTATTTGGCATGTGCTGTTTACATGTTTATAGGATAAATACTGATGATTTTGCTAATCTGTGTAATGCAAATCCAGCCTTTTTTTCCCCTTTAAACCAAGAAAAAATAAGATTACGGTATAGTAAAATAAATCTCCCTCCAGGATTCATCGGTTCTTGACTCACACTCTTGTGAGTCTGCTCTATTGCTCTATTCCTCAACTTAGGACCATTTATTTAGAGACCTCTGAAATTATAACAACCCTGAAAAAAAGTGACATGACCGTTTCTCACACTTATGATTTTGCAGCGTCCTCATGGTCATGTGATCAAACTTCAGATGCTTGGCAACTGGCATGTACTTATGACAGTTGCAGTGTCCCGGGGTCACATGATCCCCTTTTGTGAACTTCTGACAAGCAAAGTCAATGGGGAAGCCGGATTCACTTAACAAACTTAACAATTGCAGTGACTCGCTTAACAACTGTGGCAAGAAAGGTTGTAAAATAGGGCAAAAGTCAAGACCTATCTTGCTTAGCTGGGCTCAATTGTTGTAAATTGAGAACTACTCCTTACCTTATAACTATGTATTTGGAGCAGTGGTTCTCAACCTTTTTAATGCCACGACCCCAACCGGTTGTAAGTCAAGGACTACTCAACCGGTTGTAAGTCGAGGACTACTCAACTGGTGCAGCACCGTTTGCAGAATGGGACTTTTGGCAGGCTCAGCAGGGCAGAGACAGCTTGGACAATTCCTATTGGCTTTTGAAAGCCAATAGAATTAGACTCTATTTAAGAGAGTCTATTCTATTGACTTTCAAAAGCCGATAAAATAAAAGGGAGTAGCACAGCTAAGGAAAAGGGGAAAAAATGGTGGATTGCGTTGTTTGGCGACCCCCGTGAAATGGTCGTTCGACCCCAAATGGGGTCCCGACCCACAGGTGGAGAACCACTGATTTAGAGACTGTTTGAAGTTACTGTGGTGCTGAAAAAAGTGAGTTACGACTGATCCTCACACTTGCGAGCATCAAAAGGGTCCCCATCTCAAGTGATGAGATCTTGGCTACCGACTTGCACTTAAGACAATTGCAAGGTATTGCAGTCACATTATTGCCATTTGCCACCTTCCCAGACAGCTTCCGACTATCAAAATCAAGGGGGAAATTCGGCAGGGAAGGTTGCAAATCATAGTCCCATGATACCTTACTTAACAATCACATCACTCAACGATGAATTTGCCAGTTCCAATTGTGGTTGTAAGTTGAAGTAGTCTGGCTAATTCAAGGTTTGTGCCGGTTAACCACATTTGACATTGCTTTTCTTAAAAGAAAAGTCCTTAAATGGCTCCCTATCAGAGGGGGCTGGTAGGCTTTTCTCTCCCTTGCTGCCCCACCAACTTCCTGTTCCAATTACTTTTTAATTTAAGGGACTGAAATGCAAAGCAAAAAATGAACCTCTAGTATCCCCCATATTCCAATGTCTCTCTTTTAGGACTAACGCTCAGAGCTGCAAAAATCTGAGCAACCACTAGATGGCTCCAAACAGAGAGTATCTAGAATCTCTTTGCTGCCACCTAGTGGCATCCAAATATTCAGCCCAGTCATCTAAATAAAGTTAACCATTTAATGAACGTAATCATCCATTTAGCATTAAGATCTATTAAAGAATATTAAAGAGAGTTCCAACCTAGAACTAAGGAGAAATTTCCTAACAGTGAGAACAATCAGTTAGTGGAATGGCTTCCCTCCAGAAGTTGTGATGCTCCAACATTAGAGGTTTTTAAGAAGAGATTGGTCATTCATTTGGAATAAGGTCTCCTGCTCAGGCAGGGTTGACTAGAAGACCTCCAAAATCTCTTCTTCTGTAAAGTGATGCCCATTTTCCATGTCATCCTCTCCAGCCTTCATCTGGCCTGTCCCAACTCTTGACGAAGACCAGAATGGCCACCTCAGGTGGAAGCCGCTGGGAATGGGAGCCGGTGGTCCGCAGCGACCTCTTGGCTCGGGGCTTCCATTCCTGCAACATGGTGCAAGGAAAGCTCCTGATCTTTGGGGGGCTGAAGACCCAGGACACTCAGGAGTCCCCCATGGGAGACGTGGTGACCTTTGACCCATCCACCCAGACGGTGCGCACGCTTGCTCCGGAACATGGCTACCGTCGCAGTCACCACGAGGCAGTAGTGCTGGGCAACCGCTTGCTGTGTGTGGTAGGTGGATGGGATGGATCCCGCAGGGTCTCGGATGTCTGCAGTTTCGATGCGGAGCAGAAGCAGTGGGAAGGCTGGACAGCCAGAACATCCGAGACCCCCGTGGGGCTGAGCAGCCATACCTGCACCCAGCTGACAGAGCATGAATTGCTGGTGGTGGGCCGGGAGGGTGGCCTACGCACCCAGCGGCGTTATGCCAGCATCTTCACGTTGCACCTGCAGCCTAGCAGCAAGACGTACTGGTAAGTCCCACTCAGTTCCTGGCATAATCAAAAAACAGATCCGTGAACATCTGGAAACAAATAAAATTATAACTAGTAGCCAGCATGGGTTTGTTAAAAACAGATCGTGCCAAGCCAATCTTATTTCATTCTTGGACAAAGTGACTATTAGTAGACCAGCAAAATGCTGTGGAGATAGTATATTTAAACTTCAGCAAGACATTTAACAAAGTAGACCACAACCTACTACTTGGTAAGCTAGAACAGTTTGGGAAAGATAACATCACCACCAGATGGATTTGTAGCTGGCTGGCAAACTGTACTCAACGAGCAGTCTTCAATGGCACTACGTCCACATGGAGAGAAGTAAGCAGTGGGGTACCACAAGGTTATGTCTTAGGCCCAGGACTCTTCAATATCTTCATAAATGACTTAGAGGAGGGAATAGAAGGGGAACTCATCAAATTTGCAGATGACACTAAGCTCCAGGAATAGCCAACACCGTGGAAGAAAAGCTCAGGATATAAAATGTTCTTGACAGATTGAACAATGGGCCCTATCCAACAACATGAAATTCAATGTTGGAGAAAAGCAAGGATTTACACCTAGGCAGGAAAACCGAAGGTACAACTACAGATTAGGTGAAACCTGGCTCAAAAAATAGTACAGTAACTGTGAGAGGAGTCCTAATGTCCTAATGCAGTGTTTCCCAAACTTGGAGTCCTAATGCAGTGGAGTCCTAATGCAGTGTTTGGAGTCCTAATGCAGTGTTTCCCAAACTTGACAATTTTAAGGCATGAGGACTTCAATTCCCAGAATTCCACAGCCAGCAACGCCAGCAACGCTGGCTGTGGAATTCTGGGAGTTGAAGTCCACATGCCTTAAAATTGTCAAGTTTGGGAAACACTGTCCTAATGGATGATCACTTAAACATGAGCCAGCTGTGTGCGGCAGCAGCCAAAAAAGCTAATACAATCCTTGGTTGTATAAACAGAGCCATAGAATCAAAATCATGTGAAGAATTAGTACCACTTTATAAACCCTTAGTAAGGTCCACATTTGTCTGAAAGGGTATAGGGCAGGGGTAGGCAA